TGTGTTTGTAGAGAGGAGTTTGAAACTATGTAAGCTGAGATTTATGGGAGTGGGAATATATGAGTTGCTAGGCTAATAGCAGTGCAGTTCCTGCTTTCTTTTATCAGTGACAGAAATACTTTAAAAAACTGTCTTTACCCTTCATATCAGTCCTTAAAATTGGGGGAGTTCAAAGCCAACTATTCTCTTTTCCTTGAAGTAAAGACAAGAGAGAAATCTTACTGATTTTGTCCATCCTTTCTATACAATGACTTATTCTCTAGTACTTCTTTAACAAACAGTTGTACTTTTCATCTACAATAAGCTTAGAGCATCCATGAGTGCCAAAGAACATGCATTCTAAGGTACATCACTGCTTTCCCTAGGTTGCATGGGGAGAAAAGGTTTGCATACAATTTATCCTCTCACTCCTAGTCTGCCAAGAGTAAGGAGTTTCTCATTTCATCTTACTCTGCAGTTTGTTTCTCCATGCAACACGATTTCAAGGTTGCTACTTACATGCATTCTTCAAGCTGATAAGGCCAACTGTCTCTTTTTTTTATGCCATATAACAATATTCCTCGTATAATGAACATCAGCTTCACATTCCTCCTTGATGGCTAAATGTAAAGAAGAACAAATACATCTTCATTAGCTTGACCACTTTCTGAAGAAGGGAAGTTTAAAAGGGAAACCATAGTTGAAGTTGCTGTGAACCGAAGCACAACTCACAACCAGTTTAGATACAAAGCTGTTATTGACAGAACTTTTAAAGCTCCTGAGTTGGGAACCATTCAACCTCTATTCACACCCCACATTATTCTGTGGTGTATACAATATGGCTTGTAAATTAGGTGCCATGGCCATTCTTGTACAGCAGCAGTTATAAAATCATTGCAGTTTTGTTCACTGGTCACTGCTGCTGCCATGGAATTGCTGCAGTAGTTTTGATTGCTTGGAATCATATTTGTGGACATTTTCAGGCATCACTTTTTTAACTTAGAATCTCATTTTCAAAACAGCTGACCAAATTTTCATTTGGTATAAATCAGCACAGTTCTAGTTAGTGGAACTAAGGCAGTTTTTATCTGCAGAGCACTTGGCAGCGCAGCTGTTCAAACATGAAAGATCATTATGGGTGAGGTCCTTTTCCCTTCCTTTCTCTGAATGCAGAAATTAAACAAGACTTGTAGATCTTCTACAGATGCAGAATAAGTTGCAGAAGTTCACATGGGATAAACCTTAGTGTTGATAATCAGGAATTCAATTACAAGTCATCAAAATAACACTTTATATGTTCATCTGGATGACATTTTCAATGGAGTTGCAGAATAGTGAAGTGACTTCATGGTTCATGCGATGATCCGCTTTGGAAACTGCTGATGCTGCTTTCCAGAATCACCTGGTTGGAGGTTGACAGAGTTATCCAGGGATTTGACAGTGGGAAGTCAGCTGATAACCTGTAAGACATTCCAATCTGAGAAGATGACTTGAGAGATCAATTTAGAGAAGGCAAGAAAAAAATAAATTGAGGAAGTTTATCAATATGTAGAGATCATCTGTATGTTAAGTAGGCACACTGGAACGGTAGAGAAAGTCATATAAAGAGAAAAGACCTTTGGCAGCATTTTATACAGAAGAGCACAGACATTACTAAAAAGAAGACAATGGGTCTTGGTTCCCAGAGTGACGTGGAAAGCCTGCCTGGAACCTCCTTGTGGAAAGCACAGAGTTAAGATTGCTGTTGTGTGCAATATTTCAAATTATGAAGTTAATGCAGTTCATTCCAAGTTCTGTATTGGTATCTTTAACAGATACCTAGTTCTATTTAATATTTTCAGGAGAAAGGACAGATATACTGAAGAAAGAAGAGTGTTGCCCCGGAACTCATTCATTCCTGTTGCAGAGAAAAGAAATTATCTCCTTTCAGAAGACTTGATCTATGCAGTAACATGGTCACACATTTATTTTTTCAGTTGGATTAAGTTTCTATAACAGGGCTGTGCTCATAAGGATGTAAGTTCCTGGCATTTTTCCACTTATCAATATTGAAATATTAGTGATCAAGCATTTACTGAACACCATTCCTCAAATGCAGGGTCTCCACAGCATCTTGTTGCATTCATGGATTTCATTTGTTTGCATTATCTGGCTAACTGGTTCTTTTGTATTGCCAAGGTGATGAACAGATTTGACATTTAGCTGATTACTTCACCAAAATTAAACAGAAAACATGGCAGCGATCCAAAGTTCCTTTCAGTGTAAAAGCTAATTATAAAAATGCTTTGAGCAGCAATTTCTTTTTGGATGTTAAAGTGCTTTTATTAGATTGTTCCCCTGTCATTTTAAAATTTATTGCTAGGCACTTATAAATGGGGTTGCCTCTGAAGTAGAATTATTTTATTTTCTATATTTAAGATGGGAGGAAAAAAGGGTATGGAGTAAATTTTAGGCTGAATTTGTTATTATTTTATATGATTCTGAATAGGAAGGAGAATAACTAGTGCTGGCTTTCATGGATCCAAAATATGTAATTTATCTTAGTGCTGAATAAAAGCATACCCACTTCTTTTTCACAATTCAGCAACTCCCAATTTCCAAAAACAATTACTTAGCAAATAAAGAAATCAAATATGTGATTTAAAAGTTGAGTACCGCCCCTTATTGTTAGAAGTTTGTATTTTACAGTGTAGATTAAACAATCAGTGGTGATGGCAAAATCTAACCATGTGCTTGTACCTACCTGTCTTTCCTAAGTCATTACTTGTTCTCAAATAGCATAAAAGTACTCTAAAGTCATTTTGTTGAGGTCACTGAATAAGAGTTAGCCAAATGAATTTTAACCAGTAAATTTAGAGCTGAAGAGTGCTGAACAGATCTCAGAAGAAGTTTCTTGTGAAATATTTTTTAAATGCCTTGGAATATGTTTAACTTTTTGTACTGACTGTTGCTATTAGTATCCTTCGAACCTCAGACAAGGTGCAATCTTGGGAGGTTTCAAGGTGACAAAACTGGGGGGGGGAGGGAGTTGCATGTGATATTGTCTAGCACACTTTGGGAACTAAATCATACTGTGAGGACATATATTAATTCTTGACACTGAGATCTATTAATATACCTTGAAGCCAAGTGAATTATGTGAATCTTCTGTTTCAAGCTGTAGAATTCTGCCATAACTAGGAGGAAATATTTTGCTGTAGGTAGATTAATGTTGAAAGCTTGTCAAGGAAAAGTTTAATGTTGTAAATTTATTCCTCTTTTTGCCAGTACTTGAGCTTCTACACTAAATCCCATTTGTGATCTGAGGAAAATAGAGATAAAACTTCTTTTGTATTTATCTGTGTTATTAGAATTTCAATGATACAATCTATTGCCTATTAAAAAGTGCATCCCAATGAATAATCTTCCAGAGGGTAATTTTTGTTCCCATCAATCTGAGAGCTTTTCTTGTAAAATACAGTAACTGTCAGTGCTTATCAAACAATTTAATTCATGCCCATTGCAGGATAAGTAATTAAGATAACTCAACATTCTGCATTAATAAATAACAGAAATGAGAATAAGATATTTACTAAATACCCTTTCTGAAGATAATGGATAAGACTTACTATGGATGTTCAGAGGAACTGACAGAGAATGCAGAGAATGCAGTCTGAACAACAGACCTAAGAAAGAGTCTCAGTGAGGGTACGACACAAATGTGGGTTTGTTTTTGTTTGACTGTTTGAAGTATATTTCAGTACTAAACCTTCATAACTCCTCTTTGCATCTATAAAATGTCCAGAGTCTGGAGAAAAGGAGGCTCAGAGCAGACCTTATCACTCTTTACAACTACTTGAAAGGAGGCTGTAACAAGGTGGAGTTGGCCTTTTCTCACAGGCAATTAGTGAGGGGACAAGAGGAAATGGCCTCAAGTTGTGCCAGGGAAGGTTCAGGTTGGACATCAGGAAGAATTTCTTCCTGGGAAGGGTTGTCAAGCATTGGAATGGATGGCCCAGGGAAGTGGTGGAGTCACCATACGTGGAAGTGTTCAAGAGATGACTGGATGTAGCACTTAGTGCGTGGTCTAGTTGACAAGGTGGTGTTCAGTCAAAGGTTGAACTTGATAATCTAAATGATTCTATGACTCTATGATCTAACTACTTGCTTGTCAACATGATAATTTATTCAGGGATATGTTAAACAGGGAGAAACATAGTGCTGTTAATTTGAAAGTTCACAGATCATGCCCTTGTCTGCAGAGAACATTCCCTTGCTGCATTTTGTTGCCATCAGATGATCCCATCAGCCGTGTTCTGTTGGTGTCTTTCATTGTGTCAGTGGGTCCCCTATAATCTAAAGCAAGGTGTACATATATGATCTATCTGCCTGAACTGTGTAAGAATACTTCAAACACTCTATAAACATAAACCTACATAATTTCACTCATTTTTCTGTTTCCCGTCAAAGTAAAGAAGGAATATGGACCTAGCTTTAATGTAAGTGCTGTGCAAACTCATCAGGGACAGTTTGGCCAGGGTTGCCTTAATAATATTTTTCTTGATCAGTGTTGGCTTTGTGACAAATCCAGAGAAAAGTGTCAAAAAAGAATTCTGTATAGAGCTTACTGTATGCACAGGCTCAAGTCTTGAAGGGAAACACACATTCAGACAAGAGCTCAAATGAGGTTGTGGTGTAGTAGCAGTAAGCATTTGCTTATCAGAGCTAGCTTATTTTTGGATGAATGTTTAACTTGAGATGTCTGTCTGAAAAAACTTTGCTTGACCAAAATCAATTTAACAGAAACATTAAAGGAGAATGAAGCGCAAGACTCTTTGCTGGCCAACAAACTTGGATGCTGAACTCATTTATATTTGATAAACTGAAACTTCTTACGTCATAAATGCCACCAAATTTCGGTTCTTTTTGAAAATAAGCTGAGTAGTTTAGTCACAGCCAAGAAAAGAGAACTGGTAACCCATCTTTAATTGCAGAAGTATTTCCTAGAGTACTTCTAACTTTTATCTATTGTTTTTCCATAGGTTGATGGGATACTGTGCCTGGCTGACATTCTCACTGATAACAGCCATTCTGAAGCTACTCATGCTGAAGCAGCAGCAGTAATTGCACAGATCACATCTCCACATCTCACGTTCACTCAGCATCTCAGCAGCTTTCTGGAAAATATGGAAGAAATTGTGACTGCGCTTGTCAGTAAGTTCTCTGTGGGACTTTTGGGTCCAGTTAAAATAACAGGTTGGGGTAGGATTCTTTCAATAGAAATATTCCCTAAATAACGTTTACCATACTTCCCTTAACAGATAAAAGAACAATTTAAAATTTTGAATCTGAGCATTCTGCAATTACATAATGTTTTTTACTCCAGCCCACATTTGAATAGAATTTATGCATATTTGTAAAAACAATATCTGTATGAAAATCTGCCATGAGAGCCATAGGAAAGACTCAGCAAAGCATCCTCTTGTCCGATGTTTATCTGTAAAACAACAGTTTCTGAGAGCTGCTAACATTTATACCTGTTGTGTTTTCTACACTTGCTAGAACTCAAACTCACCAGCACATCTATATTTGTGTGATAATTCAGAGAAAAAGTAGATTGTTGTATAATCTATGGGCATAGTTACAAGAAAATAAAAGATCTGTCTTTCTTGTCTAGGCCTCTGATTCGTGGTAAAATGAGACAAAGGTAACAGTAAGATTTTCTTTAACCTGGGTCAGTGAAGACACTTCAGAAAAACAAGATGATATTTCTCATTATTTTCTAAAGAGAGGAATATCTTATTTCTGGCACTCTATTTCATCCCTCTCAAATACCAGAAGCTTTCATTCAAGCATTCTCTTCTCTCTGATCTGAAAATTCAGTTTCCCAGAGCTCCATGTCAGAATGTACAGTTTGGGTCATCTAGTTTGATTTCTCATGTATAATAGATCAGTACATTTGGATATTTCTCCACTGAGCCCAGTGGTTACAGTTAAACTGCAGGACTTCAATTTTAATGAATGGTCTTGTGTTTGTTTTTTAATAGAACATAAAAAGAGTATAGTAGTACCAGTATTTGAGGATTCTGCAGTGGCTGGGAATTGTCTGAGATGTATTTAGGCATTCCTCAGTAGGCCCAAACAGAACTAGTGCTGTAGAAGCCAAGGAAACAATTTATTCCTGATGTCCAGCAGCAAACTTATGCCCTAAACCTGCCCTGAATCCAGTGGGTGGAATTAACCTGTGCTGAGCTTGGTTCTGCTGTAGCTATACTGCTAGAGGGATCTGACCTGATTTATTTAAGATGATTTTCTAGGTTGTTATAGTGTACCACAAACAAGGGACAATCTAAACAACCTGTCTAGAAGGTATTAGCTGGTAGATCATTTCCTCGCTGTTTAAGTTCTACAGGAATTTTAGCAGTATATATTCTGCCCAAGAAATGTGAGCATTAAAAATAGAACATGTATAACTTTGCAAGAACCATTTCAGTAATCACACACCAGTTTCCTTGTAATATTTATAACTCAGTAATTGAATTACTGTAATATGTTTAATTTTTAAACCATGAAGAAATCCCATTACTAGGTGATTCACTTCTTAGTTAAAGTACATGTGTGCAAGGAATTAAAAGGTAGCTGTTTCTTCAGCACTTATTGAAGCTGAAAAATATAACAGAATGATTTTTGATTATAGAGAAATAGAGATAGGCAACATCTATATGTACCTTGTTCTAAAGCAGAGGATATGCAACAGAATTATTCTCTTATGGATCATTTACTGTTAGGCTTTTGCCTCCCGTTATTAATTTTATTTAGTTGTATTAAGGTTTATTTTGAACAACACCCAGTGAAATATTCCCTGTAGAATGGTATACCAGGTAGACCATATCATTCATTAGAGGTTGTAGCAAGGTGGTTGTTGATCTCTTTTTCCAAATAACAAGTGATAGATCAAAAGGAAATGGCCTCAAGCTGTGCTAGGGGAGGTTTAGTTTGGATATTAGAAAAAATTACGTAGTGGAAACAGTTGTTAAGTGTTGGAACAGGCTGCTCAGGGAAGTGGTTGAGTTGCCATCCCTGGAGGTATTTAAAAGACGTGTAGATGTGGCACTTGGGGACATGGTTTAGTGGTGAGCTTGGCAGTGCTGGGTTTATAGTGTTGGAGTTGATGATCTTAGAGGCCTTTTCCACCCTAAACAGTTCTATGATATTATATAATTGAAAAAAACTAAGATTTTTGTTTTGTTTTTTTTGCTTCCTTTTTTATCTTGATGTTTATATGAACTTGATCTTGGCTACTGAGATTACTACTGCAAATTGCAGATGCTTAAATATTGCTTTGAAATACTGCAATGAAAGAATGACTTTTATTCAACTTATTTTCTGCATCCCTAGAACTGTGCCAAGAAGCTTCGTCAGGTGAAGTTTTCTTGCTGGCTTCAGCAGCTCTTGCCAATATTACTTTCTTTGATACCATGGCTTGTGAAATATTGCTCCAGTTAAATGCAATGAAGATTCTTCTAGCAGCATGTTCGGACAAACGCATAGTGGATACTCCATATTCTCGAGATCAGGTGAGGAGTTTCTCGGCAAGCTGCTGTCTGAGCACATTCGTGTAAAAATCAACAGGTTTCAGCACTGTCTGTTTTGACACAGCCAAACTGAAGTTACTTTCGTGTATTCCATTCTTGATTATTTTCAATATATGACTCTGCTTCTGTTACCCCTTTTTTTTAATGAGCGTTATCAAATGTGACAGTTTTAATGTGATTCTACAACAATGGAAAAAAAAAAGGTGACACAGTTCCATACTTCTAAGATACTAGAACATTTTTTTTTCCATCATGAAGATGGCCAAACAGTGACACAGAGGCCCAGAGAGGCTGTGGAATCTGTCTTTGGAGATATTCAAAACCTGACTGGATGGAGCTTTGAGGCAAGGAAGATATATATGGAGACTACAGCCTAAATATAAAGTTGTCATTTTAAAGATGAATTAGCTCCAAAAGCTGAATAAGGATCTGATTCCCAGCCCACTGACGTCGGTGGGCTTTGGATCAAGTCCTAACTGCCTTGGTAGATGGCTTGCAAATTTTACTGGCAAATACTGCTAATGCACTTTTGCCTTTCCCTTTCTTCCTCACATTTTTTTTTTTTTTTAGTAAAGAGACACAGAAAATTAAAGGTCTGTGCTAATGCACAGATGAAGTCAGATGAATCCTTTTGCTCCTCTCAGGTGCTGCCATGCAATGGGATGCTGTAGAGGCACTGTTTATTTGGCATCTCAGGGATTAATTTTGTTGCAGCAGAGTAACATGTAAGAGGCTTGAGGGTTCCAGGAGTTATTACTAAAGGGTGGAGGCTGCTAGTGAGCTTGCTTGAACTATTTCTGTTTATGAAACATTGTGAATATAAATAAATGTTCATAATTCAATCCTCACAAACCCATCCCCTTCACACCTCTGAAGTAACTAAAAGATGGCTTATGGTAGACTTGGGATCTGCATTGCTGCAGAAAACTCTATTCACCCTTAAACAGGAGACAGGCCATGGAAATTGAGGCACAGGGGACCTTAGAAACTGATTATTGGTGTTCTAGACGGGTTACTGGGACTGCTTTAGCTTATATTATAGCACTCAGTAGTTTTCCAGCTCAGGAGTGCATATAAAAAGATGGAATTAGGCCATAATTACCATATTGCTCTTTGGGCAAAGTCAAGCTGTGGTGTTGACGTGGCTGTGTACTATTATTACATATGTACAATTCTTCATGTTCTTTTTTTTTATTCCTCCTCCATGCTCTCATAGTTTTGATTTCCGTATTTATTTATACCCTCATCTTAATTCTGCTGTCAGCTGTGAGTTTGCAGTTTGCTCTGTGGGCAGCATAGCAAACCCCTTCTTTTTATGATGAACACAGACATTGAAAGACGTATGTATGACTTTTTCAGTAACTGGCTACTTCCAGGCCTTTTGCAGCTTGCAGGGCATCTCATTAGGTAGACGAACAGAGAACTGAATGGCCTCCATCCAAGAACTGAGAAGATTTCATTCCCCATAACCCCTTACCTTCCTTCTTGGACTGAAAAACTAGATCAGAAAGGGTGCTGTTCTCAGTGCTGTGCTGCAGTCAGTTTCTGAGCTGGCTCCTTGGCTCCCACAGCAAGAGAGACTGTAAAATCCCACCTTTTTTTAATGTGCACCTGATGTCCAGGTGGAACCTGAGTGCTGCTTATCTTGTCTTTAAGAGCTGCCAGAGTTGCTCATCAAGCAGTTTTGGTAATGCAACAGCCTTAAGAGAAGTCTTCCTTCAAATTCCTAAATAAGTGTGTGTTTGCCTAAACTTCTCCCCTTTCTTCAGTGTTGTATTTTGTGGCATGGATGTGGTGTCTGCCAATTTTGACAGTCTTATGGAATATTTTGCCTTTTAATTCACTCTGTGCGTAGTTGGAATGAGGAAAACACACTCAACTGGAGAGAAAAACAACACTACAGTACTGTTTTAAAAGTGTATTAAAATTGCCATTTTACTTTTTGATTTTAATTTCTTTTAGGTGCCCAGTATAACCAGTAACTTTTCCCAGTATATATATTATTATGTCCCAACCAGTAGACATTTGCCAAGGAAGAAGTACATTACAGATGAGTAGGCTTGGAAATTTTTTCAATTCAAGTTTTTACTTTGGAATATGCAACCAATTTCAAATATATTTTCATGGCCTAATGTCCATTCTGAATGATCAAGGCCAGTAAAATAGATTATTTAGAATTAAGTTGTACTAAATGTTGAAACAAATAAAATAAGTTTCATAACAAATACAACAAAACATTGTCTAATTACAATAGAATGTTATAAAAGAGCCCCTCAAACTTAAATGCCCTGTTTTTCATATAGAACTTGAATTTAAATAATGCATTTATCTTATAGAAAAGTACCCAGTGTTTCTTTATACATTACTACTTTAGCATTATTGCTGATTTAAGAAAATTCTAATTTGCTGAAATAGACTGAAACATGTTCACTGTAAGCCAAAAACAGGAGAAAGATGGCTGAAGTGCAGGAAAGGAACAGTGAACTCTGTTTTCCCTCCTGCCTTTTCATCTCATTTAAAGTCACAGTATGTCCTTCTGTACAGCCTTTCTAAGGACAGCTAGAACTGACTAGTTTTCACCCTCCATATAGTATAAATAAATAACATTCTGCTCAGGGTTTGGATGTTAGATACATTGTGAGTTGCCTGCAGAAAGTATTTTCCTGCTCAAGCACCTGCCTTTTGGCTTCTGGAAAGCTTTTGTGTGCAAATGATAAACTTTTCCCCTTTACTATTTGAAAATCAACATCTTTCTTCTTTAGTATTCCAGGCAGTGTCAGATTAGGTCAGGTAAGAAATCTAGAACTGAGTTCTGGATTTACTTACAAACAAGATTATCATTGTCTATTTTATAGAAGTATGTAACTGCTTCTGTAACCAGCAGTATTACCTTGAGGTTGCTCAGTTTTGCAACTAAATACATTGTATAAGAATCACTACAAAGCAGTAATTTCCTGATCCTCTAGTCCCTAGTTTTGGGTCACAATGGAGAGAAACCTTCCATGTTCTTTTTCTTTCTGCAGATCTTTATTTTCTGAATAGCAAGGGTTTTTTTCTTTGAAAGAGCATCAGAATATTCTTTCAGAAGAGTTCATGCCTAAATTCAGCAGTGTATTGTACACAGTCAGATGCCTTAATGGAGTTTAAGCACTGTCAGAAGAAGAGTTTAACCAAAACCTTTATCATTCAGAGTCTTCTTGACTCTAACTATTGTCTTAGACTCTACATAGAAAAATATGAAATATTTATGTTTGTGCACAGTATGTTTATGTATAATAAATTTTTTTTTCTCTGCATTACCACTTGTCTCTTTAGTGTTGCTAGTATTCTCACCTTACCTGTGAAGTTGTGGAGGTATAGCCTAACACCTTCTCATCTTCTGTTATTCAGACAGACAAAGAATTAATGTGCAGTGAACACATCCATGGCTATTCCTAGGTCTAAAGTCAGTAAATCATGTTACAAAAAAGTTTGAGGCGGAGAAAGACTTTTAAGTTGGAAGGAGAAAACAGAAATGATTGCTGCTTTTTTTCTGCTAAATTCTTTCCTGTTTCTTTGGTATTTGGGAGATGCTGCAAGTTCTGAAGCTGAGACCTTCTGTCTCATTTAAGATTTAAAATCCTTAACACCATTCTTCCTCTAGGTTTCTCCTTCTTTTCTTTGTTCTTCCAGGCCTTTTTTTCAGGGAATTTGTCAGGGTTTTTATTTCCTTTCCCTCTTTTTTTCTGTTATGTGGAGATTGCAGTATCAAAAGGAGTGCAGAGACAGATGTTACTTTAACATAAAGGAGTTTTGAATTTTTAAATGTTGCCAAACGCACGGTGAAAGACTTTGGGGGCAGTGTTTTTAATGAGAAGAATATTAACAGTTGGGGTTTTTTTGAAAATCCATGTGTGAATGAAAGAAACTTGCAGTACTACTTCTCAATTTGAGTTTCTTGAATACTGGGGAAATTATTACTCCTCACCAACTACTGTTTGTTTCTGCTTGTTGTCATGAAGACAGCTGGTTACCTCTGTCTTTTCATAAACATGTGAACAACATCATAATATGAATAACAGTACTGGCTGACATTGTATGGTAAATGTTGTGGATTGTTATGTTTCAGGAGTCCAACACTGACTCTCTTAAACATTAAAATTTTTGAGACAAAATGCCTGTTTAGTTACAATTCTGCCTTTCACATTTAGATTCAATCCAGGATAAGACAATGTACTCCAACTTTCAAAGCAAGAGGTTCAGTTGAAGAACTCTGCTATTCTTTGCTAGTTTAGTGTGGTGAGGTTTTCATTCTTTCATCTTAGTATTGCTACTGCTCCGATTTTGAAGAAGCAATTTAACCTCTCTGCATTTTTGTTTAATCCTCTGTAAAGTTGGGTAGACGTTGCACTTACTCTGTAAAGTCTCTCCAGAAGGAGAAGACACATGTTATGTCAGCACAATTCATTGTGGTTTCTGTTTTCTGCCCTTGCCTGCCAGGCTCACAGTACAGCCAGGCTGGTGCTGGGCTGTTTACTGCAGAAACTATAAACAAGAGACTTTGCTGTAGACTGTACCAGTCATAGAGCTGTAAGTTAGAGGTGGATTTGTACGCATTTTCCTGCAGTTTTTTGTCTTTTTGTCTTCAGTCCTTCAGGAATTCAGATAGCAGATTTCAAACAGCCTCTGCGTTTGGCCGATGATTTTTTTTTTTTTCCCCAAAGCAGAATCACTGGTCCAGGTGACCGTTGTGATTTCAGTCTTTGTTCTGAGCAGGTGAGCTAGTAAACAGTGTTTCTACACGTTGCAGTTTCTGGTTTTTTTTTTCTTCCTCAACTAGAAAATTATTATCTTCTAGGAGGGCATCAGAAATTACTTCCTGACCACTCTGCTTGAGTTAGTGGAGGTTGACCTGATCCTGAAATGGGAGTAACTAAGTTTCTTAGCACGTACTCAAACCCTGATTTCAGGGTTTGATTCCAGCTAGACAAGCAAAGTTGTTT